CCGTTGTTGTGTTGAGAGAGATTTGTTGGATTTCGACTAAACAAAAGAAACAACCAACCAGAATGGGTTGATCCACCCATGTGCCAACGTGGAAGGGAGATGTTGCCAAAGATGGTTGCAAAGATGAACAGATTGGAGAAGGAACTAGCAAGAAGTCGTAGAAGGGAGAAAATGTTTTGCAAAGCTCTGTTTGGGACATGGATTTTTTTCTTTATCATGACAATGTTCTAGGTGAAGTTTGCTGGAGTAAAGAAAAATGGATTGTTATTGGGCCATAGAGTTTGAGAGATGAAAAATATAGTCAAGGTAGAAAATGAAGGTGTACAATGGTCTGTGAAGCAATTGTAATGAAAAATGAAGGTGTAAAATGAAAGAATGTTTTGGTCATACACTATGTATGCATCTGGTTCCCATTCTCCTGAGGAACCAAAGAAATTGTAATGAAAGAATGTTTTGTTCATTACATCTTCCAAGAACATTAAAGAATAGAAACATATTGGTTCCCATTGTTCCCCTATTTGAAACATGCTTTATTTGTAATGAAAGAATGTTTGGTGAAGAAAGTAAACCTGCTTGATTTGGATCCTGTGAAACATGCTTCATTTGCTTCAACCCAAAAACATGCTTCATTTCCTTGATTTGAAACATAATTCAAAAACATGTTTCAACCCAAAAACATAGTAAACTAAGATACATGTATTAATAAAGGTACACAAAAACATGCTTGATTTGGATCCTGCAAAACATGTGTCATTTGCTTCAGTTCACATTACTTTAATACAAGCCACAATTCAACCCACTGGGCTTCTCAAAACATAGTAAACTAAGATACTAGCCAGTTATTCAAAAACAAATTGGTACAAGCCACTTAATGGTTTAACAAGTTGAAAACTACTCAAAACACAACAAAAGGTAAGTTGTAGCTTTCTCTACCATCATGCTTTCCCTTTGCCTTTGTCAGTTTGCCTCTGAGTTGTAACTTTTGCAGATCCACCACTACTTGCATTACACTGTTTGGATTATGCAGCCTCACTGTTTCACAATAATCATACACCTTTGCATATTGGACCCTTTAATCTCCTTCAATAACTTCTCTTATTTTTTTTTTAGCCCTATACAATTGAGGCCTACTAACATCAACCATTAACTCCCTCCAAACTGTCTTCTGCATAGGCCCAACTTTGATGTTAAGGTTATCCCTTAACTTGTCCATATACTTTTGTGCCAAGTAAGTTGAGTTCACCAAGTGATTATTATATGACCTTCCACATGCATGCTTTGGCTAGAATGATTTTATTTGAAAAGTTCTCTCACCTTGCATGGGAGAAGCATGCAATCTCCATCCACATCCATGCTTTTGCACACTACAATAATCCTAGAGTCGCCATTCCTTATGTACTTGATGTCATAACCATGTTGGATATTGCACTCTTTCATTGCCTTTCTAAAAATTTGAGGGGTAGCAAACTTCATTCCAAGTTTCAGTTGTGGCTTCTTCATGTCTACTTCTTCAATGAACTTAGGATATTTCTCTTCACATTCCTCATCTGATGAGTTATGTACACTATGTAAATCTTCATCCTCATGATCAAAATACCACCCTACATCTGCCTCTTGATCACATGAAGGAGGTTGCCTCTTTCTTTTCTTTACAGTCTCCTTTGGTGAGAAAATATCATCATCTTCTGGCCCCTCTAAACCCTCATTCAACCAGCCAGGTTCATCACTTTCATAGTCTTCATCTTCTGAACCACTATCAACATTCTCATCATCCATGTAATCAGGATCATCACTATCTTCTTCATCCCAAGCTCTGTTATCCATTTCCTCATCTCTGGCATCTTCATCTGTTGCTCCTTCATCCCCATCTCCATTATGTATTTCCTCATCACCTACATCTTGCATTCCATCTCTACAATTTATCTCTTCTTCACTTATATTTTCTATGTCATTCCAAGTCAGTGCCTGCTTAGCACTAACTGGTACTCTTGGGGGTACCAAATGTTTCCCTTTTGGACTTACCACTTGTAATGGGTCTGGACCCTTCTCCACATATAATTGAATCACATCTAAACCTTCATACTCACATATCATGGTATATACATCAACATCTTCTTCAATTATTGTCAACCCATCATCCAAACTTTTTCCAAATTTCCTATACCACAAAACAGAAGTACTATACACATCTATTTTCATCTCCCTCAAGATGGTATGAATCTCAATAAAAGATAGTTTGTCAAGATCAACATCATATATATATTCCACTTTCCCTTGTTTATAAGCAATATTATGAGGTTTACTGAAGTACCCATTATAGTTGATCTCAAAAATCATTTTTTTTACCTCACTGCAGAAAACAATAAAACTTCACAATATTACATTACAAAACTCAAACTCATTGGAACCACATAACAACAATCATAAAAAAATCCAAAGTCAACATCATAAGAAAATACCTGTTGTTTATGAACCTCTATACCCCACCCCACTTTAACCAACATCCCAAAAAAATAAAGTAATTAAAGGAATGAATACTAAAGTATACAAAAACAAATCTGTGAATAAAAAATACT